GGAAGGGTCCAGAGAAAGGAAGCATGTGCGCAGAAAAGCCAGTTGGGAGGAGCTGGGAGGCGGCTCCACGGGGCCGACTACATGTCCCATAATTCAGCACAGCAACGAAGACCGGCTCCCCGGGCGCCGCTGGAAGACTTGCGGCATGGGATCTGTGGTGAGCATCCTTCGCCCGCCCGAAGTCGGCCTTTGGTGGGGAGATATATGGGGATTGGCTAGTGAGGGTTCGAGTCCCGCCCACGGATGGTGACGACAGGCGGCGGTCCTGCTACTTAAGGCGTCGTGGCCTCGACCGCCCCGCCTTAGCTCCCGCGCTAGAGAGAAACATGTATCGTTTCCGATCACAGCTCTTCACGGGGATTTCAGCTGCCGCCATCGCCCACTCTTACCCGCGCCGCTTCTCGCCTCTGTTGTTAGCCGAAGACTCGCCTCTCAGCCGCCCGTCGCACAGACGCACGAGTAAAAAGTGCAGTTCCATCGGCTGATCCTCGCTAAGCTAGAGTTTAGGCGGCACCGGGCGTCCCACGATGCCGAAGAATAAGAAGCGGAACACTGCCCACCGCGGTGGCAGTGGTGGCGGCGGCTCAGGGGCAGCTGCAGCGACGGCGGCGACAGCAGGTAAGAAAGTATCCCAGTCGCCGGCATCCCAGATACCGGCCGGGTTGGCGAGTCGCTTAGCCTTGGGCACCCTGGGAGTTGTAGTTCTATTCCTCTAGACGTATGCGTTGGCGGGGCGCTTGGCGTGGCCGGGGGACTACGCTTCCCAGCATGCCTTGGGGGCCGAACCTCGCGCGATTTGGATCTGGCGTGCGAACCGAACTCTTGGGCACCGGCCGCGGGGCAGGGAGAGGGGCAGATGGGTTCTTGCGTCTGAGAATGGGTCGGGGTTGGGGGTGACTGGGAGCTGTGCGGGAGAGGAAGTGTTTTCAGAGACTGGTACTGGCTCTGTAGAGCTCTTCTTGACAGAGGGTGGTGCCGAGTTCGGAGTTCTGTCCATGCTGTCACTGGTCGTCTTTGACCACTCGGCTCCAACATGGAGTTCTCGGGAATGCCAAATGTCCGGCGGGTTTGGACCGGCTCTTGCGTCACGCGGCCTGGGCCTTGCGCCGTGGGGCCGGGGTGACGCAGAGGAGCCCATGTGGCATCCCATTCGGCTGCCTTCCTGCGCATCCCGCGTGTGCACCTGGCCCGGCCGAGCCGCCAGAGGCTGGGGTCCACTGTCCCAGCGTAGACTCTGCTCCTACCTTTATCAGGCACCCGCACAAATCCCGAGTCCCCAGCTCTGGTGCGACCCGTCGAAGCCAGCTCCTACTCCCGGGGCAGAAACTGCGTTCTCCTTTGTGCTATATTTTGTAGATTCTCCGCTGGGAGCCCGGAATAGGCGGGAGTGGTGAGGAGCTCAGATTGCAGTTGGCCAAAAGTTTAGGTGTTTTTTTTTTTTGATTCCTCTTTGCAGAGTTGAAACTTTTCCTGGATAGCTAGGTGCTTAATTGAATTAATGATTTTTTAGTCCTAACTATACGACTAAGAAAAAATGACCTCAAGCAGAAACTCCAACGAGACACACCATACTGAAAGCTAGTGTTAAACCTGGTAAAGTCATCTCACTTAATGATTGCTTTATTGAAACTTTGAAATTAAGTATTAAAATAACCTCAGATGTTATCACATCGAATCTATTAGCCATATATATTTGTGAACACAGTTGCCACTTTAACCCTCAGATTGATAAGCCTTTGTTCTTTAGCAAATAGGCCAGTTTTTTTTTTAAACAATTGGAAACTGATATTTAAAAAGCAAGACGAAAACTTGCGGTCATGTATTATTTAATAATTGACAGTAGAAATGAATTATTATAGATGCAGTCCCCCCTTTTAATATCTTTATTTTGATTGAATGCTTGCTTTCGGTGTTCATGAAGTTCATTCTTGATCAAAATATAAAATACATCTAGTTGCTCTGTGTGAATTGATATCTCTTTATCTTTCTGCTTCGTCTTCTCGTCAGAAGTAACCATTTAAATTCTGTCCAGAAGGTCCTTATTAATTTTAATTCTTCAAGTTTACCTTTTGTTGAAACAAACAGATGGAGCAAGCTAAAGTCATGTTGAAAATGGTAATGGCCTCCTTGATTCGCTAAGGAACATTTATTCCCCTCTGAAGCTTCCTGTCCAGCCTCCTTCCTTCCTGGTACTTAGAGAATAATCTCAGGAGGCAGTGGGGGGTTACCTTGCAAATTTTACTTCGAGGTTCTCATTTGTGACTTTTCAGCAGCAGGAAAACAATTCTTTGATAGTTTATAAAACTATACATGCTTTGACTATCTTTGGACATTTACACTAGAACTTGTTAGCTGTGCTTGGCTCTGATTGGGGCTTGGGGGTGAGATTTACTTTTTGAAAAGGTTAAATTGGTTCCACCTGAATATTACTTACTCAAATAATAGTTGAATAGAAGAGATGGAAAGTTTTCACAAACTTGTACTTAAAAGTCTCTTACCTTACTGATATTTTTAAATGACATCTATAGAAGAAATAGGATTCATATGAAATCTTCACATGTACAACCAAGAAATAACCAACTTCGATCGTTTTGGGTTTCCCATTTAAATACTTTTAAATAAAGTTAGTGGAGGGGGTCCAGGAAGCTAATAAAATTGACCTGTTGTTCAAGTGTGTGTGTGTGTTTCATAGAACTTATTTTAAAGAGAGCATTTTTAGGAAAGAACAAAGCCTTGTTAGTAAGTAAGCCCTTTAAGAAATAAGGACTTAATGTGTCTAAAGGGCCACCTCATTAATGGTACTTAGAATCACAAGGTGGGTGAGTGTGACCTAGATATTAGACACTCATACAGAGTTTTTTCCCCTCAATTTTTTTTTTTTTCAAATGATCTCTTTCCCTTTGAGCTTTGGGAAGTCATTGAAACTTAGAGAAGGGAGCTGAGTAACACCTGGATATGACACTCTTTTTGACAGTTTAAAAATAGGCTGAATGTGAAAAATAAAAGATGATTTGTGAATAAATATTAGTAAAAATTAAGCTGATGACTCAACTATTGCCATGACTAAAGATCATGAAAACAAATGAAGACAGATCCAAAAATAGAATATGATGTCATAGGTCTTTGTTTGTTTGTTTATTCTTTCCTAAGCACTATGATTAGGAAGTTTTGGTGTCTTGGCTTCATTGCTTATTCTTTATACTTCACTACTTTGATTGGCACACTTTATTCTCTTTTGGATAGCAAGCAGATTTGAAGGCCACTTGCTTCCTGTGTTGATTTAAAAATCTGCTAAAGCCTCATCTCTGTTTTGATTTTTTAAAGCTATAAAAAAAGACAGCAACAGGCTTAATTATACACAGAGAATTTTTGAGAAGACTTTCTTGAGATTTATTAAATGATACAGATTTCTTGAACATAGGGACCTAAGAGATATCTAGTGCAATCTTTGATTGGAACTCAGAGTTAAATGAGGTGACTCATGGTCACTTTTGGGGCGGAATTGGGGACTTCTTTTAACTCAGTGCTCATTGTAATTGATGACTGAATAATCTTTCTATTAATATGAAGTTCCCACAAAAATAATTAGAAGTGACAGTGACTAGGAGTATAGATTTATTCCTTAGATTAATGAAATTGAGAGGAAGATTCTAGTTTAAAAAAAGATTTTAATTTTTTAATAATAGCACTGATATTTTAAAACTTTTGTGTATATTAGAACCTTTCTTTTGAACATGATTTGTCTAACAGGCTTTTTATGCTATATAAAATACCAGAACATCTTTTTAAGGTCTTAAAATTCGACTCTTAGTTGACCAAAAATCCTCAGACAAACTGAAAGAGCTCTATCTGTCTTCCCAAGGGAGTGACAGGAATGTTAACACTTGACTAGGAACAAATGTAAACGTGTACAGCCATCACAGTAGGAAAGTCATCATCCAGCTTAGTCACTAGTCACTACAGTGAAGTAGGTTTTTAAAATACTGTAGTCATTTCTGAAATTGGCATGTGAAAAAAGTCAAGTCTTGAGCATTGCTCAAGGTCTTCAAAGCAGATTCCCAATTTTAAGCACACCATGCTTACAATCTTTATCAGCTTGCATCTTGCCTATAATTCTTTACTTGCAAACATGAGACAACTCTGTTAAGAGGACTCTGAGTAGATGCTTTCTCCAGTGGACTTGGCCCTGTGAAGGTAGAGTGCTGGTAAGAGGAAGCAGGGCCTCTGTGCAGTGCTTGAGGACCATTTCGTAGTCCTGCCTCTTAAGTGATTTGTATGCATGCTCCTTCGCAAGAAATCTCAGCTCTTCTGTCTTCCATGACTTGGGAACAAAAATCCTGCAGTTCACTGCACTGGTATCATGTAGAAAGTCCATCAGAGCTCTTTGTATTTTCTTACACATCTTACCAACACTAGTTCTTTCGTGATCAGTCACTTCAGTTGCTGTCGTCATTTTCTGTGCCATGTTGGATCCACTTATCAGCATCTAAAACTTCTATCTTAAACGTTTTTGATCCTCTCAATTCAAATTGTCTTACTTAAAACTACCATCCCACAACTCCTCAAATTTCCCTTTGTATAAGACATGTGTAACCTAAAAACTAACCTATTCACCAGTTAATGTTATTCTCATTGGAAAATGCATTTTTCTTATTTTTATGTTGATCTGTTTTTATTGTCTTAATGATTTGAAGTAATTGGGAAGTAGTTTTTTTATCCATAATACTGGTTTTGTTTGACCAAAAATGGTCACATACTAGATTATTGATATATTTCTGCAGTTGATGTATATTGTAAATAGCTTTTGCTCTGAAATACATGGTAGGTGAATTGACTTATATTAGGAGTATTTAAGTGAGTTCTTTTGTTAAAAAAAAAATTATCTCTTAAGTAAGTTTGGGTTTTTATTACTGGCTTTAAGTAAGTTTTAAAATTCCCAAGTTAAGTGTTTGCATACATGACAACAAAATCATTTACCTCCACCCTCTTTTACCTACTAGGTGGCCAGCATCGAAATGTTCAACCTTTTAGTGATGAGGATGCATCGATTGAAACAATGAGCCATTGCAGTGGTTACAGCGATCCTTCCAGTTTTGCTGAGGATGGTATGAGTTTTCAGTCTAGGTTTTCGACATTAGATAAAAGGATGTTAAGGTCAAGTAATTCTTGTAGCTAAGTATTCTATTACTTTTCCCTATCTGCTTTTTTCTGTTTAAATCACAGTGGTTGGTTTTATTATTCCGTAGGGCCAGAAGTCCTTGATGAGGAAGGAACTCAAGAAGACTTAGAGTATAAGTTGAAGGGATTCATTGACCTAACCCTGGATAAGAGGTGGGAATTACTGGAAGCTCTTTTCATTCTGGTTGATTTTGATCAGCCACCTTTTATATAAAATATGTGCAGTTATTTCTTTGAGCATTATGTTTTCCTAAAGCTTGATTTGTTTACTTTGGATATTTTAGTTTTTTGCGCCTTTAGACTTTTAATGTAGATAGGAACATGCCTCTAGAATTTAGATTAATAGACTTAGATTAGTTGTTGTTCTAGAATAAGAGCACATATTTGTGTTTGATAATTGAAGTGTATTTGTTAAATTAAAAGTTAATCTTCAACTAGGAAGGATAGCTATTGAAAAATACTAAAGCCAAATTGTTTTCTTACTTAACAGTAACTCTAGAACCAAATTAAAACAAATGGAATTTAAAACCCCAGAAGATGCAAACAAGAACTCTGGACTTTTGTTCTGTTAAAAAAAAAAAAAAATACGTGTTTACTTGAATATGTAATGTAGAAGAACATGCTTTATACACTGAAACTATGAAATACTATGTGGCCATTTAATGTTGTGGTTATTAAATGAATAAGCAGAAAAATGCTATGATGCGTAGTAGGGTGAGTTGTAGATGAAAATTAAATTATTATTTGAAAAGTGGTGTGAACATGAAAATTATATGTTAAAAAATCTATAAATAGAAAAAATTGAGAGGAAACTAGGCTTTTACAAGTATCATTGACTGATGGTACACTCCAGCTGTATCTTCTTTCTCTTATATTTTGTTTTAAATAGTGCGAAAACAAGGCAGGCAGCCCTTGAAGGTATTAAAAATGCATTGGCTTCAAAGATGCTTTATGAATTTATTCTGGAAAGAAGAATGACTTTAACTGATAGCATTGAGCGCTGCCTGAAAAAAGGTAATGTCCTTACTTTAGAGCCACAGTTACAGAACCTAAAAGGAATTTGCTACCTTCTGTGCAGTGACATTTGTTAATAGCACTAAAAGTCTGGCTCACTCTTGTAACCTTGTACTTGACAGGGAATATATCAGTCTTGTTAAAACTCAAAATCAAACTTGTTAGCTTTTGAAACTGTAGTTTCAAAATGTAAAAATGTAGTAAGCATTTGAAACTAGGAAAGACTGGGGTGGATTGTCAACTTCAGTTGTATTAAAAGAGGTGTTTGCCATTCTCTTGTACATAACAAAGGCTTGAAAACTTGTGTCAGATGTCAACAAAAAGTATTACTTAAAAAGCCATCCTACTTCATTTTTCTAAAATTAAAACAGTATCATAATTATCTACCTCATTTTCTTATTTAAAACATTGATCATACTTTCAGTGACATCATTTCAGAATACCCCTTGGAATATTTGAATTCTTGAACTTTGTCATAGAGGTTCTAGAATTCATATTAGGATCGTCTATGATTTAAAGAACTTTGAAGAATAAAGAGAGACCTTAAGGATTAAGTCTAGTATTATCAAAGACTTTCAATTTTAGAAAATGCCAGAATTCAAAAGGTTTGGGGATACCAGCTTAATTATTTTGCCAAGTAAGAACATTTGTCTTTATTCTCATTTTCCCTCAGGTGAAAGCTTTGTCAAGAATGGGTGTTTGGAAACCTTTGATCTAATCCACCTCTCACTGTGCAGAGAAAGGAAAGGCCTAGGAAATGCGAGACTGGTCTAAAGTTACATAACTTGTTATTGGTATAGTTGATAGCAGAGCCAGCTTCTTTGAGATGCTACAATGGCTGTGTCAAAAGTATTTATATTGAAACTGTATCCTATAAGGTAGTTGGATTAGACCTTTTAAAATTTCGTTACAACCTGCATAGACATTTAATTTATCAGATAATAAATTCAAAATTTGTGCAGACCCTTGATGTATACAGTTCTCAGGAGAGTTAGTTTACACTTACTTTATATTAACATGCTTTCCTGGTGGCTCAGACCGTAAAGAACCTGCCTACCGTGCAGGAGACCCAGGTTTGATCCCTGGGTCAGGAAGATCCCCTGGAGAAGGAAATGGCAACCCCCTCCAGTGTTCTTGCCTAGGAAATCCTGTGGATGGAGGAGCCTGGCAGGTACACTCCATTGGGGCGCAAAGAGTCAGACACAACTGAGTGGCTTCACTCACTCACTTACATTAACATATTTGTATAGTTTAAAAGGCTCTGTTATTTATAGTTGGCTGAGGCATGCAGCTTACGGGACTTTAGTTCCCCAACGAAAGATTGAATGAAAAAAGCCCTCTACAGTGAGAATGTGGTGTCCTGGCCACTGTACCACCAGGGAATTCCCGAGAATACCTGTTTTTAACCCCTTGCTTATTTTAAACAATATTGGTGGAGGAGAGCCCTGAAGGTTTAGTTTACCTCATGGGCTATGTACATCTGAAATGCTTGACAAGTTATTTCAAGAGCTCTTTGTGCACTATTCTGTGAGTTCATGAAGGATTTAGAAAGTCAGATTAGCTTGAAATGCATTATTTTGCTGACCTGTTACAGTACTCTTCTTTAAAATAGGTGTTAATTTCCATTTTACAGACGAGCACCTGTTTTGAGAATAAGAGTAATTGGTTGAAGGTCATTTGGCTAGTATGTGATAGATCTAGGATTCGAGTGTGGCCTGCTTCCAGAGTTTGAGATCTTTAACCTCACTAGATTTATAGGTCATGCCAAAACATTGAGCATACTTTGGGTTTCATAATTGGTAGATGCTATTTTGAAATAGAACAAATTTGGGAAATTGCTGCCTTAAGAAGTCTACTGAAAATGATTTGTCATAATTGCTGGTGACTTCTCTTATAGGTAAAGGTGATGAGCAGCGTGCAGCTGCAGCATTAGCGTCTGTTCTTTGTATTCAGTTGGGCCCTGGAATTGAAAGTGAAGAGGTTTTAAAGACTCTTGGACCAATCCTGAAGAAAATAATTTGTGATGGAACAGCTAGTATCCAGGCCAGGCAAACTGTAAGTATAGAATTTTTAATTATAGCTCTATCTAGGCATGATATTCAGACCTTGTGATGATCTAGGAAAATAGCATCTTCAAAAATATAGAAGGTTTTTATTATCATTTTATTATCATTTGTTTTTTAGTGAGCAGATTCAATATGACAATTCTTTTCTTAAATTTTCTGATGCTCAATAGAACATCCCTTATAGAGCAGATATCTACATTTTGAAATTGAAGATCATGTGCTTATAGGAAGTACAGTGCAATGTTGATTTAGGATTACCCACTTTTTATTGGAGCTTAAACGAGTGGTCTAGACAATGTTTATTGTGTAGTTATTTTTTTAATTCTAAGAAATGTAATGGAGTGGTGGTGGTGTTTTAATTCTGACCTAGAAGTCCTTATGAAAGAGCTGAGTGCTGTAGTTACATGGGTGGATTTGGTTGATGTAGGGAACTCTGACTTTTGAATTATTCATCTGATTTGGGGGGTTTGGAAAAGCTTTCATTTTCTAATTGATATTTACCACTTATATACGTAAGATTGTGAATTTTGGTGGAGGAGTTGGTTGTTGGTTTCTGTTAGGCTAAATAAGTGATTTAAATGATCACACAAAACAACTTTTGCTTTATCACAGAAACATAAGGCAGTCTTAGTGGATTTTAATCTTAATGGATGTTAAGAATCTTAAGAGCCTTAATAGATCATAAGAATTTATTGTTAGTGAATTTGAATCTTAAGCTGTTTTTCTAGCAAGAGAGCCAGTTTGTTTAAAACTTTTTAACACTAATTATTGGCCTCCTCTTTAGCGTTACTTAAGGTAAATGATGGGCTCTCCCAGTGGCTCAGTGGTAAAGAATCCACCCATAGTCCAGGAGCCGCAGGAGACTTGGGCTCTTCCCTGGGTTGGGAAGGACCCCTGGAGGAGGGCATGGCAGCCCACTCCGGGGTCCTTGCCTAAAGACTCCCATGGACAGAGGAGCCTGGTGGGCTACACCCCTCAGCATTGCAAAGAGTCAGACACAACTGAAGCAACTTAGCATGCACACACACAAGGTGAATGGCGTTGCTCTTTCTATCAGGTGAACCCTGAAGTCTTATGGCTTAGTAAAAGCTTATTCTTGTACATATCAGTGCCCAGTCAGGCCAGCAAGGTCCCTTGGCATATCCGTCTTGCAGCTCTGCCCTGCCTCTAGGTTCTTTTCAAATGGCAGCTGTGGTAGTGAGACGAGGAAGGCTGGAGGACAGAGGCAGGTCACTTCTGCTGAGAGTTCCTTGGTTTACCAACTGTATAGGTGCTGGGAGGAGTCTATCGGAAAAGGAGTAGGAGTTTGGTAACTTTATAGGAATCTCTGCCCCCCAGTAGTTAGTAATCTCTTTACCTTTCTGTTTTTCCTTTTTGGCTAGTTTCTTGCAGCTTTAAAATTGCTTGCGAGTATGAGGGGTATTTGAAATGTTTTGACAGAAAACACTGTTGATGGTATTTGGGGTGATCACTTAGTTTTGGTTGCACGTGAGTTGTGGTTGTCCAAGGCACTTTCTTCATCCTTCTTACTCTTCCTGTGAGTTAAAAAAAAAAGCAAAATTCTGGCATTCTTCTGCATATTAGTAGAAGGAATCTTTATTAAATGAAGGCAGTCCTACTTTTGAATCTGCCGTTTCTCTTAGGAGATGTGTTCTGGCTTCTGCTGCTTACGTAGGAGAGGATTACATACTGAAATCTTCTTTTACTGAGAATAATGCTTCAGCTACTTTGGAATTTTAACAGTGTCTAATTTTTACGATAACCTAATGAGAATAAAATAGTGGCAGCAAGCTGATTAATATTACAGGTGTCCTCATAGTACTGGAACAGAACTCGCTAAAATTGGGGGCATGTGAATGATGCCTTTAAAGACTTACACCTTAGTGGTACTTGGAACAACATGAGGGCATTTTAGTGATAACGTATGGAGAAAAGGGAAATGAAGAGTAATAAAACCTTATAAATTTCAAATTCTGCTTTTGTATAATTAGCACAAGTGTTCTGAGACTTAATGGCTCCTATAATGTTGGAAGTAGATTATATATAAATACACTGAATCTGTTTTATTAGGTAGGTTTTTCCTTAGTAATCTTGGATGTCTTGTTCACTTGCTCAGTTGTTTCTAGCTCTTTGTGACCCCATGGACTGCAGCATGCCAGGTTTCCCTTCACTACCTCCCAGAGTTTGCTCAGATCGATGTCCATTGAGTCAGTGATGTTATCTAACCATCTCATCCTCTACCGCCCTGTTCTTTTGCCTTCAGTCTTTCTTAGTATCAGGGTCTTTTCCAATGAGTCGGCTCTTTGCATCAGGTGGCCAAAGTATTGGAGCTTCAACTTCAGCATCAGTCCTTCCAGTGAATATTCAGGGTTGATTTCCTTTAGGATTGACTGATTTGATCTCCTTGCAGTCCAAGGGACTCTCAAGAGTCTTCTCCAGGACCACAGTTTGAAGGCATCAATTCTTCAGTGCTCAGCCTTTTTATGGTCCAACTCTCACATCTGTACATGACTGCTAGAAAAACCATAGCTTTGACAATACGCCCTTTTGTCAGCAAAGTGATGCCTCTGCTTTTTAATATGCTGTCTAGGTTTATCTTAGCTTTTCTTCTGAAGAGTTGAAGTTGGCTTGAAATGATCTGCTAGATGAATGAAGGAAGACCCAAGTGAAATGGAGTAACTTTGCTAAAGTTGAACTCTTAAGTTTACTAGCAGACCTTACTGGGTTTTAGCTGAAGCCCCCTTCCCTTAACTCTTAACCCTGTTTTTTCCTTCTTTTATACTATACTTGGGACCTAACATAGTCATGTAGCTGATAAGTTTTTCACGTTGAATTATAAAAGCTGGAATATGTAAAATTAATAAGAAAATGGCAAAATTAATGTCTGACTTATTTTTTCCTTTTTTTAGTGTGCAACTTGCTTTGGTGTTTGCTGTTTTATTGCCACAGATGACATTACTGTAAGTAGAGAGCCTTCTGAATCCAGTTATTTGCACATTTCTCATTTAAGATGGTAATCTTATTTCCTGCTCTTATGTATCAGGAGCTATATTCAACTCTGCAGTGTTTGGAAAATATCTTCACCAAGTCCTATCTCAAAGAGAAAGACACTAATGTTATCTGTAGCACCCCTAATACAGCACTTCATATCAGCTCGCTTCTCGCGTGGACATTATTACTGACCATATGCCCAATCAATGAAGTGAAGAAAAAGCTTGAGGTGTATGTATTTTTTGTTCTTATTTTATAAAAACAACATTTGTTGATATAATTGGTTGTGTTCACATAGTAATGACTGGCTGTTCTCCAGGCATTTCCATAAGCTTCCAAGTCTCCTTTCTTCTGATGATGTAAACATGAGAATAGCTGCTGGTGAATCTTTGGCACTTCTGTTTGAATTGGCCAGAGGAATGGAGAGTGTAAGTATCTGATAGTAAAGATGTCACAAGAACCATTATTCTGACACTACCCTCACAATTAAGAATTGGATGATAACTCGGGAGCATGGCCCGCTTGAGAACCTAATGATTGGTTGTCCTGCTTCTTGGCAGTGATGATGTAATACTTAATAAAAGCATAAACCAATACTGGTTGGTTGGCAGAGCAGCATTTGAGTGTAGTTCATTATACTTAATCATTGCTGCCTATAGAACTGAAGTTAAAAGTACATTCTTACTACTCATGAAGAGCTGTCATGTATAATCTTTTGGATCTGCTTGGATTTCTCAGACCTGAGACACATTAAGGTAATTCAGGCACTTACAATAAATGTTAGAAAAATGGATGAAATATGATGTCGATGTAGGTTTGGGATTAAGTTAGATGAGTTTAGTTACCATCATGTTTAACTTTTCTAAGCCAAGTGTGTTATTTGTTCAGTCTTGTTCGACTCTTTGCAATCCTATGGAATGTAGTCTGCCAGGCTCCTCTGTCCATGGGATTCTCCAGGCAAGGGTTGCCATTTCCTTCTCCAGGGGATCTTCCTTACCCAGGGATGGAATCTGGGTCTTCCGCATTGCAGGCAGATTCTTTTTCTGTGTGTGTGTGTAGTAAAGTTTTTATTAAAGTATAAAGGAAATAGAGAAAACTTCTGACATAGGCATCAGAAGGGGGCAGAAAGAGTACCCCCCTACTAGTCTTCAGCTGGATGTTATATAGTCACTAGCAGTCTGTTAATGAAAGAAAGGAATGTCTTAAAACTCAGAATGGCACCAGGCCCCTCATCCATAAAATGCATTTTGGGTTAATCTTGGCACGAGATGGTTCATCACAGGCTATTAACGACTGACTTGAATCTTGTAGAAGGACAGATTACTATACAAATAGTTTCATTTACATTGATTAAGGGAACAATATCTGAATATAACATACTGGTTTGTCAAGTAGGTTCTGAGCCATTTGGCAGAACCAACTTGAAGACAGAGTCTGGGGTAAATGCATAGCACATTAACATAGCTTAAGACAAACATTTCCATAAGAAAAATGCATTGGTTAGCTCAAGGTTTGAGAATAGTTAGCTTCTGGTGAAACCAGGTGTCATTTTGGCAACACGGTATTTTAAGCGAAACCTCCTTTTAAATTTGTATAGAGAAGGGAAAAAAATATTGCTAGTTTGTTTCCTCCTGCCACTTAAGAGAGAGAAAAAATGTCTGATGCTTGCAGCCTATTTCCTCCATTTGGAGACCCCTAGCCTTCCTGCCTATTACCCTCTCATCCCCCCCTTTTCTTTTAGGAGAATTATGTTGCCTAGGGAAAAGGGGCGTCGTTCTCATTCCATAACTGCTTCCGAGCTGACAAGGGGCGTTGTCCCTAAATTGGTGAGGCAACATATTCTCCTAATCCTCATACTGAGGATTTCTGATCCAGGGGCCCCAAATAATAGCTGGAAGAAGCTGCAGCAGTAGCAGGAGTTTGAGCAACCATTTGTAACTTAAAAGCTTTCATGTGACTAGAAACAAATCCAGTTACACAGTTACAGATGCAGGGAGCAAACAGCAAAAACAAAAATACCAGAATTATTGTAATTAAGATAGAATCTGGGTCTTCCGCATTGCAGGCAGATTCTTCACTGTCTGAGCCACCAGCGAAGCCCTTTCTAAGCCAAAGAGGAAAATAAACGTGGCCCTTGAGCCTGGGGCATGTGCTTTGTGGTTCGCTACTGCTGGCCACTCATGGTTGCTTTTTTTCTGTTCTGTTTTTTTAATAACCACAGTTTTGCTTTTGGGGGTATTTGAGTTTGTGGTAGGTGACCGAGAGATGATCCACCATCCTGGTGGTATTCCATGTTTAGCACTGAAAAGTCCTATGTCCTGAAGCCCTTTGTCTTAGGCTAGTTATATGGAACAGTTGGTCACCCTGGTTTGTGACCTCTATTGTGAATCTTGGGTTACTTCCTAGCTGCTTTTCAATTTAAGGAGAAAGATTATTTTCTGGAATGATGCTTTTCTGCAATTAAAGAAGTTAGTTAACAGTGGATAATTCTACAGTGGATAATTCTAAATGTTCTGAGTTGCCTTGGTTTTTCACATTCCATTATTGGCCTGTGTTTGGCTGCCCGCCACCCACCTTTCTTATTTCGAAAGATAGCTGGTATGAATTAAAAGTAAGTTTTTCACACTGTCAGTAGCTAATGAGTCTCCATATGTGAGAAATTGGACTCAAGTTTAGCAATCCATTTAATTTTATTGAACTAGTTAATAGCACCTTAACCTCAAGGCACAGAAGCCAGGTGTCCTAGTTTTTAATCTTGTATTCCTCTACTGACTAGAAATGGTAATTTCTTTTTTTTTCCTTTGAAATGCATCCTAAAAGTGAACTAATGATGCAGTTTAAATTATATATGTTGAATTTGTTTAAATTTGCATAAATGTAAGTAGTATTGCCACCTGCATACCTACCTTCTTTGACTTAATAAATCATATGTGATAGTCAAGAGAAGTCACTCAAACATGTTTAATTTGACCAAATCCTTGTCAAAGACAAAAATGAACTGTGTTATAAAGCAGAACGTAAGTGTTTGTTTGCTATTTTTGTTAAGTAAGTTTTGTATTTGTTTATTTTTAAAAATACTCATTGACTTATTTGGCTGCCTTGGGTCTTAGTTGTGGTTGGTAGGATCGTTGTTGCAGTGGGCGGGCTTCTCCAGTGGCAGGTGGGCTGCGGAGGGCGCAGGCTCAGTTGTGGTGCACCAGCTAGTTGCCCTGCAGCATGTGGGCTCTTCACTGACAAGAGATTGAAGCCATCCCCCCTACACTGGCAGGCGAATTCTTGCCCACGGGACCACCTTAGAAGTCCTATTCCTACTTTTAAAGTGGAAATGGTAATAGTTAATGCCTCACAAGTTGTTGGAACACGTGCCAAGTACAGTGTAAGTGGTAGCTATTCCTACACTGTTAGCTGAATTGCATATCACCTTCCCCTTGCTAGTAGTCTAGTAGTAGCCTTTTTAGAGCTCTCTAGTCAAACTTAAACTAAGAGAAGGACTGTTTAGTGGATAAAATTATAGGTCTGAGGGCCATGTGATAAACTAGTTCAGGAAATTGTACCAAAATACAGTATTCTCAGACCGTCCCTAATTCTCCCTGTTCCATCTTCCACCTAAGCTGACAGGGGCAGTGCTTCAGGACAGAGATACAGTGGAAGTAAAATCTGAGGACTCAAAACACATTTCCCAGGCCTTAAATCGCATGCTTCTCACTTCTTGATTTTGTTTATAGGATAACCAGATCATGTGAACATGTCTCCATACCCTGACAGAGACATTCTGCCTCAATTAGCAGGAGTGAAAAGAATAAAAGTTTCTGTAGTTGAATTGTCAGATAAAACCATTCTGGAAATAGTAGTCAGCGCTTTGCAGTGAAGTTGGGAGGGATCAAACTCTGTTTTAATGTTTGGCTTCCCTATGGTTATTTCTTAACACTTAGTACAGCTTGTTTCATTTTATTTACAATCAGTGCTCGGGTGACTACTATATAGAAAATACTAGTTTACGGCATGATTTTTGTGACCATCAGCATCTCATCTTGTGTACTTGAACTCTTAAGTTTTCTATGGTTTCATTTCATTTTAATTCCACTCAACTTTTGAAACCATTTAACTTATTACAGCTGTTTGAAATAATCATCTTTAGACTTGTTTGAAACATATAAATAATTATACTGAAACAGACTGTATCATAAAAAACTATAGCATAATGGATATTTATGTACTGTGTTTTATGTAATTTTAGAATATATAAATATATTTTACTTAGGCCTTACAATAAACATACGGGATGTGGGTGGTATTAACTATCCCCTTTTTATATCAGATTCCTCTGATTAAAAAAATGTCTGCTGGGAGATAAGATTCTTGAGAACCACTGGCAGTGATTCCCAGTTCTTAGAACAAATTATGGTAATGCATAGAGTCTTGTTAATTTTTGGTGTATTCTCCCATGTATATGTTTAAATCTTCCATACATTTTTTTTTTTGAGAATAATACAAAAGAACTAGTAGCCAGTGAAATAAGCAGGAAACTGTTAGTCCCTAAAATGTACTTGTTTCTACAAGTAAAACAATTCTTATTTTGTTATGATGGAATCAAATTTAGTGAAATATAAATACAGACATCAATATAACATTGAACTGTTTTAATAATACCTTTTCAGTTTTGGTAACCATTTTTCTAGATGAAAGTCTTATTAACAGGTGTCATTTCCAGCTAATTCAGCCATAGGAAGTTGAATTAGAACATGAAAGAAAACATTCATTAGAACAGTTAAGAATATACAATCTCTAAAATACTGACAATAAAAAATACTTGTACTTAAAAGAATAGCTGTGTTGATTTCAAGCTTATTTTCCATGAGTATAATAATCTTCTTCATTTTAGGCATTTACAGAAATTACATCTGTACCTTTTGAGATTGAACAATTAATAAATATATACAGTACAATGTGAAGAATGCCTGAAATAAGAGTTTCTTGTTTTAATAGAATAAGTTAAATGATTGTTACCACTAATGCAAAAAAGGTTAATAACTAGAGGTGGAGATGTCTCATCTTCTGTCTGCTTTAGTTTTGGTCAACTAAGTAATTCTGAATCATCGCTTAGTTTTTAATGTGTTATAAAATTTAATTAGAGAATAAAAACACCCAAAATAGACTTCTTAAAAGTATAGCCATTTAAACTGTAATAAAGAAGCCTATAGTCAACTTAAGGTCATAGCAAATAGTAATATATTTGTGGCTTCCCTCCAAAAGGAATTAAAATATATTTCTTTCTGAAATAATTTAATCACTTGAGTTGTGCACCTGATGTAAATACTTGGTTGCTTATTTGAAATGTGGCCAGTAAATTAGAAATTAGGAGCTTTAAAAAGCTTTACTAATAGCTTGCCCTTTGTTTTAAAGAAATTTGGAGTTCTGGGAATATGCACCTTGGGGTCTGAGGAACCAGAGGGTAGAAACTATATTGGTTTATGTGTATGAACTTGGAAGTCCCAGTAACATCTTGAGTACAGTTGGAACACAGTAAGTGTTAGTTGAGTGTATCTGGATATACTTAGAAGAGGAATGTTCATTATTTGGTGGTAGTGTATCATCTTGGTAGACAGTATTTCTGGATTAAATTTTTACATGTTAATAAGTGTTTTTCTGACCAGGACTTTTATTATGAAGACATGGAGTCTTTAACTCAGATGCTTAGGACTTTGGCTACAGATGGAAATAAGCACCGGGCCAAGGTGGACAAGAGAAAGCAGCGGTCAGTGTTCAGAGACATCCTGAGGGCGGTGGAGGTAGGCTTCTTAATGCTTTAATAGTTAGTTAATTCTTTTGAAATTAGATTGTTTTAAGCCAGACTTGTCAATTGGGTGTTTCTGCTGATTGAACTTCACCTTTGAGCTAAATAATTTCCTCATTTTAAGACTGAGCAAGTTTTTAACAACAAAAATGAAAAAAATTTCTTTCTTTTTAAACAAAGGAAAAATTAATTCTGATGTTATAAAGGTTTATTTTTTTTTCCCTTTTGTTGATGTTAAAAAAGATAAAAAAGATTCATAGTGATAGAAATATACTTCACTTTGGTGTACTTGCCATCATTCAAGACCTGGTGCTTATCATTAGCACATAGATACTTAGTATTGTATGAATAGTGAATTATTTTTGTAAATAGTAAATTATTGCCCCTATCCCTCAGTACCTTTAAGCAGAGACCTTTGTGAGCTCCTTGGGAAAGCTAGGTGCTGAAAGCCAAAATAACAAAACCCAGCATATCATTTTCTGATGCTTGAATCCTTTCTATAGACCTCTAACCTGCTTTAGCCTACCTGACAAATAAATGATTTAGAAACCTTTAGGGCTTATAGTGCATGGTTAAGGATAAGTTTCTTCGGTAAATGTTAATAGGGCATTTCTTTCAAGAATATTAGTAAAGAGTCCTTCAGTGTGATGTGTATGAAATTTTAGAATGGGCATTTAAAAGAAAATACTAAAGCCCCTCTCAGATCCAATTTTCAAGTGTTCCAATGATTCTTACATAGCCTGCTTAAGAACTACTCTCTTCATTTTAATTTACATTAAAAAAAGTAAAAGCTAAGGTATAAATTAATATACAGGTCCTCTGTGATCTAAATTTTTGGTTAATGTTAATACTAATTGCTTTATTATAATATTTTGTGTTTACTCAGGTAATACTTTATTTTCAGGATGTTTTTTTAAAAACAAAATGAGAAAAAAAACAAAACAAAAAAACCCTGACTTGAACAGACCTACATACATACTAAGCATTGATCTTGTTGGTCTTAAAATTAGTGTGGTAAAATCCCAAAATAAGCAAGTGATTTTCTTGAGTGGAATTTAAAAACAAACTATTCCTGTATTTAGATCCTGTAGCCTCCAAAAGATAAAATAATGACATGTTGTAGATTTTCTGGATTATAGCTGATTTCTAATTTTCTGTCTTTGGATCCTCTCTGGGTAACAGATTTTAAGGTCGGTAGGATTCCACAGACTCTGTTAACAGGTCCCTCAGCCAAGGCCAGTCATGGTGGAAAGTACTGAGTCTCTTGAGAAAGATATGTGTGAAATTCGACGTGAACCAGCTTTAACAGGCCTCTTGTCTCCTCCCTCTGCCCCCCCACCCCCTCTGCTATCAATAGAAATGAAAGCCCTGCGTTTGCCTCACAATTCTATCCTCTGGTGACCTCCCTCCCAGGCCTTACCCACCCTCTCCATCTCAGAATTTCTGTTCCTTCTTTGCCCTTTGATTGGTTCCCTGTTCCTCCAGCTCAGCTTCAGTCTACCTGCGTGTGTCAGAGCTTTCCTCAGTGATCTTGTCTCTTTTCTTATATTGAAACCCCGCTTTCTTTGAGGGACTCTGCTTCCTTGTTGGATCTTGTTCAGTTGCTTCAGAGAATGGTCTATTTGGGGTGTGGTTGTTTTGCCACACCATTTCTTTTCATCCAAAAACCCATTTTGAAGTTCATGTATTAAATTGGTAACCATTTGATATGTTGGTGCTTTGACATACAGTTTTCTTGTTTCGGTCCCAGTATAGGTCTTAAGCAGTAGAATTATCTTTTTAAGGAAAAATGGAGACCAGAGGAATAGTCAAAAAACAGCAAGTAGCAAAGCTGGCATCTGAATGCGCTGTACTGTGCCGTCTTTGAGGACCAAACACTGTGGAGAGGTCCAGAGAGGGAACGGAAAGTGTCGATGAGATTTGTCACTTAGGAGGTCATTAGTGACCTTTGTAAGACCAGCTTCAGCAGAATGAAGGGAGAAGAACCAGGCTGAAGTGGATTGAAAAGTGAATGGGAGGTGAAAAAGTGGAGATAGTGTGTCTTGACTTAAAAAACATGGCTGTGATGGGAAGAAGAGAGCAGATGACTGGATTGTGGGAGGGTTTGCTGTTTTAAATGCTAGAGACAGTTTATGGGAAAAGAAGTCAATGGAGAAAGGAGCCTGTGAAAATAAAGTGAAAGATTTGTGGTATGAGGCGTTGAAAGAATAATGATTAGCCTTGAACTGGGGAGGAGTGTCTGTCTGATTTAAGAGAGAGGAATAGGTAAGGATACACATGAGTTTATAGGGAGCTCTTTCCTGGTGTCTCTGTTTTCTGAAATAAATGATGAAATAATAGAATCCTACTGTTTTCTCGTTGTCGTTGTTTTGAGCTGTTGTAATAGCCCAAGCACTGTATGTGCTTCACAAAACATGCTTATACCTGTAATAATTCTATATGGTAGATGTATAGATGGCCTTTATAGGCAAGGGAACAGACCCAAACAGGTTAAATTACTTGCCAAAGTCACAAGCCTAGGGAGTGGCATATCCATGTGAATCTAGCATTCACATTCTTTTTTACATGAGATCCTGTGTCTGCTGAGAGAGGTAGGGACGGCGGTTGGATTGGTCCCGCCCAGTCAGGTCCCATCGCTTTGTTCCTCCTGCCTCTGTGGAAATCGCTTCCTCCCTTCTGGGCTGTGTGTGCGTGCTCAAGTCCCTCAGTCCTGTCTGACCCACGGACTGTAGCCCACTAGATTCCTGTCCATAGAATTTCCCAGGCAAGGATACTGGAGTGGGTTGCCGTTTCCTCCTCCGTGGGCTCTTCCCGACAGGGATGGAAACCATGTCCCTTGAGTCTCCTGCCTTGGCAGGTGGATTCTCTACCGCTGCACCACGTGGGTTACTCTTCCTTATTCACGATTTTTTAAAATATACAGCAGCTATTTTGTTTTTGTCTCAAGTTCTGTTAGTATTCTGGATTTCTTCTCTGTTTGTTTGAAAACCCCATCCTGTATTTGTTCCTGTTTCCATTTCACTTCCACCACTACCTCTTCTCCCCCCATGGTTATACTTTAGAAGTTGTCTTCTGGCAAAATTATTCCATCTCTGAAATCGTAAATGTTATCTCTCATTTTCTTAATAAGAATCTTCAAAGGCCCTCTGAACCCTCATGTTGCTCCTCCTTTTTGGTTGGTCTGTTAGTAACACCATTTGTCTTTACTTCCTTTCCTAGATTTCTGCTTCCCTAATTTCACCACTGGCTTGTGGGGGCATCTTGTCTTTCTGACTTGTCCTATAACCGTCCCTACCCCCGGTCCTAAACCAGTACAAATATCTGACTTTTCCAGCAAGTTTGTTGAGTGCTTTTGTAATGAAAAAAACATTCACAACAAGGTAGTTTTGCTGTGTCTACTGCAGCTAGACAAATTCTGCACTCTTAGTAGGATAGTACTTCTACTTTCCAGTCTATTCCTATTTCAGGGATGGAGGTATTGGTTTAAACCATATATTCATTTCAACATGTATTTGTGTATTTAGAAATTGTGTTTATGTAGCATCTCTTTAGATTATTTTGGTTCCTCTTAAAATTTTTATTCTTCTATTGACCAGGAACGGGATTTTCCGACAGAAACTGTTAAATTTGGTCCTGAAAGGATGTATATTGATTGCTGGGTCAAAAAACATACGTATGATACCTTTAAGGAGATTCTCGGATCAGGAATGCAGTACCACTTGCAGGTGAGTGGGTGACATCCTTTCTGTATGTTTGCTTTTAAATTTGAGAGTAGTTTTGAATGTACCTCACTTCACTGCTTTTGAAATTAGTTTGAATGTACAGACTGTTTTCAGTATATGTTATATTCAATAGCAAATGTATTTTTGAAAGGTAAGGTGAATAAATATGAAACTGTCCTTTTTTTGTATAGTGTAAGCTTGGTGGAACATCTCTTTGACTATCGGAGCACTATTGACATCTTTGTAGGAAAGCAACTAGTTTGACATAGCTTTCTTTTTTTTAATTTTTTTTTTTTATTAGTTGGAGGCTAATTACTTCACAACATTGTAGTGGGTTTTGTCATACATTGACATGAATCAGCCGTGGATTTACATGTGTTCCCCATCCCGATCCCCCCTCCCATCTCCCTCTCCGCCTGATCCCTCTGGTTCTTCCCAGTGCACCAGGTCCGAGCACTTGTCTCATGCATCCAACCTGGGCTGGTGATGTTTCACCCTAGATAATATACATGTTTCGATGCTGTTCTCTTGAAACATCCCACCCTCCACTTCTCCCACAGAGTCCAAAAGTCTGTTCTATACATCTGTGTCTCTTTTTCTGTTGACATAGCTTTCTTGAACTCAGGGCATTGGAAAACAATTTGGTCTTAAGAAAACAGAAAGAAAATAAGTGACATATGTTCATATTTATAAACTCCACGTAACTTCTGTTAACCAGATTTCAGTTTATGTAGTAAAAAAAAAGAAAACTGATGTTTAATACTGAGCCTTATTGTCTCTTTTATTTAAGTCAAATGAATTCCTTCGCAATGTCTTTGAACTTGGACCCCCAGTGATGCTTGATGCTGCTGCATTGAAAACAATGAAGATTTCTCGATTTGAAAGGGTAGGTTTGGTTTTTGTTTTCAAGAGAACTGAATGCACAAAAGTGGAGCCAAAGCTTTGATTCTGCTAGGTGACAGGCATTTAGCTATGTCTATGAACTATATTTAGTTCTCCATGGTGTTTCAGACAGCTCGACTAATAAGTATAGAAACTTTAGTTCATTTAGAGTATGGAGGGTTAAGACGAGAAATTTTTATCCATAATCCTAGTAACATAGAAACTATTTTCATTTTTTGTTTCCCTTTGTTCTATGAAATTTATATATTTAAGGATAAATATTGACAAAAGTGCTTTCATATCTGATGACTGAGCCTAAACTTAGTCAGTACCAGATTCATTTTACAGATGAGGAGAACAAATGTGCTTAGAGAGCTTATAACATTAAATAGTGATTAATATTATTTGGCTTCCCCAGTGGCTCAGCATTAAAGAATCTGTCTGCAATGCAGGAGACCTGCGTTCAGTCCCTGGGTGGGGAAGATCCCTTGGAGAAGGGAATACCTACTCCAGTATTCTTGCGTGGAGAATTTCATAACATTTCAAAAATCCATATTATTTTTTTTACTAAGGTAAAATTCACATAACATAAAGTGTACAGTTCAGTGGTATTTAATACACTTATAGTGTTGCACAACCATCACCACTGTCTAGTTCCCAAACATTTTCATCACCTCAAAAAGGAAACTGAGGTTCATTAAATATTCACTCTCTGTTCACCTCTTCTTTCCTCCCAGCTGCTGATAAGCAGTCACTCATGTGCATTTTTTCTCTGTGGATTTACCTGTTGTGGGTATTTCACAGAGAATCATATAATGTGACCTTTCGTGACTTTTTTTTTTCACTTAGCATATTGTTTGGAGAAGGAAGTGGGAACCCACTCCAGTATTTTTGCCTGGAAAATCCCATAGACGGAGGAGCCTGGTAGGCTACAGTCCATGGGGTCGCAAAGAGTCGGACACGACTGAGCGACTTCACAACACAGCATATTGTTGCCAAGTTTCATCCATGTTGTAGGGTGGTCAGTACTTCAGTCCTTTCTGTGGCCAAATAATCCTCCATTATATGGATACATCACATGTTTATCTCTGTTAGTTTGTGGACATTCAGCTTGTTTCCACTTTTGATCCTTTTAAATCGTGCTTTTTTTGAACATATACATACAAATTTTTATTAGAGCACCTGTTTTCAATTCTTTTAGGTATATACCTAGGAGTGGAGTTGCTCAGTCATGTGTAATTCTGTTGTTTAACTTTTTAAGGAACCACCAAACTTTTCTACAGTGACTGCAGTGTATTTTACCTTCCCACTAGCAATATGAGAGTTCAAATTTTGACATCCTTACTAATACTTTTTTTTCTTTTTATTTTCCTTTTAAGTTATAGCCATCCTAGTGGATGTGAATTATTTTATTGTATGTTTATAAAACCTTTATATTTAATTATTTTGATGGACATATACTTGATTGTTGGGCATTGTAAAATTTTCTAATAAATATGGATATTTTTACATTTATTTCTCTTTTGGATTATTTCTTGGATAAAGTCCTTGCATGGGACTATAGGGCTTGATTATGATTTTTTGAGATGTATTGCCAAATTACCTTCCAAAATTATTCTACTACTTTTAATTATTTTCAGTGTTGAATGAATGCATGTAGCTATTAAACACATATTGGACAGCATTGGTTTTATTATTTAAAAAATTTTCTTGACATTTTATGTTTGATTATTTTTTTCATACAGAATCGTCATGAACTGTCATGTGTTAATCTTCTCCCTCACTCTTTGTGTCTTTTAAACATTTAAAGTATATCTAAAGTCAAGATTAGTTCATTTCTTTCCTTTCAGTCTGTGGTGACCCCATGGACTGTGGCCTGCCAGGCTCCGCTGTCCATGGGAGTTCCCCGGGCAAGAATACTGGAGTGAGATGCCATTCATTTCCTGCTCAGGAAATCATCCCAACCCAGGAACTAAATCCTGGTCTCCTGTTTGCAGGTGGATTCTGAGCCACCAGGGATGTATATACTTCAGTGCTTATAAGCAAGTTAGTTCCCTGCTCCTTTCCCATTTCTCAGGGTTTCATTTCAGCCTTTAGTTTTTTCCTAGCACTTTGGTTTCAGATTCTAAGTAAAATGCTTATACAGCTATTTCTTTGATAGGTAAGGATTTCTGCCTGTTTACTTCTCCCCTCACCCCCCTTTTTTTCCCTAAATCAGCATCATTGTTTACATTATAGTAACATTATAATCTTTTTTTTCTTACTTTATAAGAATATCTAAAACTTCATTGGCTCACACATATTTTCCTTTTTTTCCATTTCAGCATTTATATAATTCTGCAGCCTTCAAAGCTCGAACAAAAGCTCGAAGCAAATGTCGTGATAAGAGAGCAGATGTTGGAGAATTCTTCTAGATTTTTAGCATTTGAAGACCACTTTCTAATTTCCCTTTTTTTTTTTTTTGTAATTTTTAATGTATTTAATTTCTAGAGACAGTTTTTATCTTGGTCAACAGATAGCTTTTGTAGTAGGTATTATATTATAATTTAATGTATATAGTATTGCAGATGGTAAGTCCTAATTATTGAATATTCTTTGTATATATAATCATTAAACAGAAATAAATTGTTTGTAATGTTTGGTCATTTTCTATTTATGAAAAAAGCAAACATAAGATATTTCACTTGATTTCATGATGAGAAAAACTGTTAGCCAAAGTTAAATTTCTTATGCTGTGATTGTCAGAAATACTGATTATAATGATATAGATAAACAAAGTTTTTAACTTAAAGATCTTACACAGATGAGTTCAGGATACAATTTTGGGAGCTAGATATGGAAAAGCTGCTGTTATTTTCAATTTTAAGTGGAACCTAATAATTTTGTCACTAGGATCAACAAAAGGAATTATACCATGCGACCATACAGCTGCACTTACAGGCCAATCAGTCCATCTGTTGTTCATGATGAATTAATATAAGCCAGAAAAGTTGCTAACCTTGACCACTGAGGGCAGTAACACTAATTTTATCTGCTGTGTAAGACCTTGTGCTCTTTATTTTGAAATAAAGATCTTTTCACACTAAAAGTGCTTCTTTTCTAATAGAAGAAACATTTATGAGTTTATGTATAGAGTTCAAAATGATAAAGTGGGGTAGCGAGAGTAAAACAGAACTTCCTTTTGTATATTTGGAAACATGAAAATAAATGAAAAAAATGGTGCAGTATATCGACATTTCAGCTACTTCTTAAGACCATTGTTTCTTGGTTGCCCCATGAGATGCTTTTTTTTTTTACTTTATGGGAAGTTGTAGGCATTTTGACAATGCACTAGGATTTTTTATTATAAAACTTTTATGTTAAAATGACATTGCATACGTAATACCTGCAGTTTAGAATTTACAGATTTCTTTATATTAATACAGTAAACAGTAATAAGAGGGGTGAAAGAAGCATGCAAATAAGGACCAAAATCCACAGAGGTATTTTTTCTAAACTAGTCTTCCTCTGCCACATCTTCAACCCCTCCGGGAAGGTCTGATGCGCCCCCCATTGGCTGCCTCATGGAGCTGTTACTGCTGCTGGGAGGGTGAATTCCAGCCCTCAGATACAATGCAATGGAAAACAAACTTGGAATCTCAAACCTGGGGTTGCATGTTGTCACCTCTTTATATTCCGAGTAGTTTAGGACCATGGAGAAGCGATTGTAAGTAGTATTTTTTTCAATTTTCAATTTACTATTTATATATTTTAGAATATTAATGGATTTTTATTAAGGCAATGTATAGTGGTGGTTTAGTCACTAGTTGTGTCTGACTCTTGGCGACCCCACGGACTGTAGCCTGCCAGGCTCCTCTGTCCATGGGAGTTCCCCGGGCAAGAATACTGGAGTGAGATGCCATTCATTTCCTTCTCAGGAAATCATCATAACACAGGAACTGAATCCTAGTCTGCTGCATTGCAGGCGAATTCTTTATACCACTGAGCCACCAGGGATGTATATATATAGTTTCAGTAGTACTTCAGTGCTTATAAGCAAGTTAGTTCCCTGCTCCTTTCCCATTTCTCAGGGTTTCATTTCAGCCTTTAGTTTTTTTCCTAGCACTTTGGTTTCAGATAATAAGTAAAATGCTTATACAGCTATTTCTTTATTTGATAGGTAAGGATTTCTGCCTTTTTACCCCACCCCCCCCCACCGTTTTTTTCCTAAATCAGCATCATTGTTTACATTATAGTTACCATATTTTCTATTCATTTCTGAACCGGATGGTTTCCTATGCTTACATTACCATTCTCAGGACATCTTGTCTTGGTTTTATATACACATCATTTAACTCTTCCAGAATAGTCCCAATAAGTCTGCAAAACTCCTTTAGTCTCTTTGTCACATAGTCAGTGCCCAAAAGAATATTAAATTCTTTGTTGTTTCAGTCTAGACTACCTTCTCTCATCTGAGTGTACAGCTGTTGCCTGAGACTCCATGCTGGGATCTGTTTTCCACTCAAGTTGGATTCCACATCTGGACCCCATGTCTTCGCTGTTAGATTAAAGTTAAGTCAAGTCACTGAGTCGTGTCCAACTCTTTGCGATCCTGTGGACTGTAGCCCACCAGGCTCCTCCGTCCATGGGACTGTCCAGGCAGGAATACTGGAGTGGGTTGCCATTTCCTTCTCCAGGGGATCTTTCCAACCCAGGGATTGAACCTGGGTCTCCCGCATCACAGGTGGATGCTTTACCCTCTGAGCCATTGCTTCCCTGTTAAAATGGAATGAGTGAAACTTCTGGGAATGAGTGTGTGGGAGGTCAATTATGTTGAAACTTTACATGTCTAACAGGTACTTTGGCTTGGTATATAAAATTCTAGGTAGAAAACCAAACTCGGAATTTTGAAGGCATTGCTCTACTCTAATTAAAAGTTGCAACAATGTCTGATGCAGTTTTACTTTGTGATTTGTTTTGTTCTTTGAATCTCTGACTCTGCTGTAAAAATGTGTGGTACTGTGTTTTGGTAGACTGGCAATCTGGGAAATACTAAGTTCTTGACACCACCCTCCCATCCTCCACATAGACATGCACATTGTCTATGAGCTGGAACTCCCATGAAATGGTAGAGCTGCTGGATTGAGCCTCTGACCTTACTTTTTCTTTCTGGGAGAGATTGTAACAGCTTTCAAATCTTGCTGTTGCATTATATTTTTAGCTAACATGAGATTACCTGCCTGTATTTAGCTCTGTACTTCACTGTTGCCTTCAGTTCCTGAGCCTGCTTGAATTCTATAGGGTCCATCACTTACTCAGCAGTGATGGCCCTGTGACTGCCTGCTAAGGTACGTACCAACCACTCTCTCCTTCCTATATTCAATACATTTGCTGAAATCTTGCTCAGTATTGTTACCTCCTATGTTTATTATTATGGCTCTGTAACTTTTATTCTGCCTTTTTTATTGGAATTTTGGGAGGAAGTAGTAGTAAGCAAGTATTAATTATATATTAAATTTATAGATGGGTGCCTTTTCATGAAATTGATGAGTAGTTGCTAGGCAGGATAACTGGGGATTCAATGTGAAAGTGCTTGAGTTTTCTTTAGAGCAGTAAAATGGTGTATGATAGACCAATTTATTCCTTGATACTGGTTAACCTTGCTGGCTTACAGGAATTTAAAATGGTCCCTGCCTAGTAACAACTTAGAGATTTAGTCATTCATTTTGAATCAGTTGGCATCTTTGACTCAAGTCTTTGATAACATATGCTTTAATTTCCTGGGAATGAGATATAATATTTGAAAGAAAAAGTAAGAAATAGTTGAGAATATCCCCAAATTGATCAGTTCTTATGAAAATACCTGTTTTCTTCTTGTGACTCAAAACCCTTCAGGATCTGACCTTTTACATACATAGCAGATAAAATGAAGTCGGTTGTCTTGCTTTGCTCTTAAGTGGTTCTCCAGAAGTCTACCTGGTCACACACCATAAAAAAAAACCTTATCCCCACCTCTGATGTAAAATATGGTTGAATCCAGACTTTGGTGTGAGGAACTGTTAATTTCCACTTTCCTTGTCCTTGAGGGCAAAAGGGGGTGACTAACACTTCAAGGGTTAGGTTTACAGGAGAGAGAAGAATACATAGTGTTCAAAATGAGGTTTTTTTTTTTTTCTTTAAAGAATAGATGGTTTAAAACAGATCAGGTAGTTGGGAGATTAAAGCTGAACATGATTAAAATAGCAAACATTCTTATTTTTTCAAGAAATTTTGCATAACTTTTAATGCATTATGTGCTTCAGAGAAAACAGTTACTGGTTAACAGTCTTTCTTCATGAATCTTAGAAGATGACATTCCTTTTCGCCCAAAGTAGAGTGAGGTCCATACTAAATACAGATATAAAAGAAATTTTGTAGAGCATTTTCTAATTGATGCGCTCAAGGGTGAGTTAATGTCTGTCTCAGTTCAGTTAGTTCAGTTGCTCAGTTGTGTCTGACTCTTTTCGACCCCATGGATTGCAGCACACGAAGCTTCCCTGTCCATCACCAACTCCTGGAGCTTGCTCAGACTAATGTACATCAAGTCAGTGATGCCATCCAAACACCTCATCCACTGTCTTCCCCTTCTCCTGCCTTCAGTCTTTCTCAGCATCATGGTCTTTTCTAATGAGTCAGTTCTTTGCATCAAGTGGCCCAAGTATTGGAGTTTCAGCTTCAGCGTCAGCCCTTCCAATGAATATTCAGGACTGATTTTCTTTAGGATTGACTGGCTTAATCTTGCAGTCCAAGGGACTCAAGCGTCTTCAACACCACAGTTCAAAAGCATCAATTCTTTGGTGCTCAGCTTTCTTTATGGTTCAGCTCTCACATCCATACATGACTGCCGGAAAAACCATAGCTTTGATTAGACGGACCTTTGTCGGCAAGGTAATGTCTGTCTAGTCACGGCAACAGAAAGTAGGATTATAAAGGGTTACATATCCGTTTACCACTTAATCATTAGTATCCTGCCCGGACAGTCAGTCTGGGGCGGTGGGCCTGTGGGATTGTCTCACCACAGCTTCTTTGCTATACATGGGAGAGGGAACCACATCAGAGGCTGACATTCCTGAGAAAGGAGGATGCGTTAAAAACTCACAGAATAAAGCCTTTGAAAAGGAAAGTTGATGAGATGAAGTGCTTCCACCACCGGCAGTGGGGACAGTGGGCCAGTAGCCATGTAATCTCCCACGCACCATCCCCTTTTGTAGCTGCTGGAAGCTCTGGAGTCCTCTGACCTGCTGTCATCCTGGTTAGACTTGTCACAACCGTATTCTCTTCCTGTTGACTGTCGTCCTCTGATTGGTCTGGAGTCTTGTGTGGTTAGCTGTCAGTGGCAGCTCCAGCTTGCTTCCCCATATTTATCCATGGGAGCTCCCCGTGGCAGAATGCAGGAGCTGTGTCAGGTTCCACATCAGCCAAATAAGGACATAAATCTCCGTCCAGTAAGAACCTCATCAGTTACCAATTAAATCAAGGCATGGTAGTGTTTTTTTTTTTTTTTCTTTTTGAAGCATAGTTTCAGTAATATATTTATTTAAACCTTAGACATTATAAAAAAAAATCAATATTTGGGATCTTAACTACTTGGCCAAATTAACACTGGATATAGACCAACAGTTTCACGCTGGGGTTTATGGGCCTTCTAGGAGCACCCGTGTGCTGAAGGAAGGCAAAGAGCTACAGAATTTCTAGAAAGTCTTATAGTTGCTTCTGAATATTTTTTCCCCCTGGCAACCCATCTGTCAAAGCTCACGTTTTTGTAAGTAATATGCATGCTGTTACTCTCAGACTGAATTCTGATTCTTGAGGTTGGGATGTCTTTTGTTGCATGTGCTGTGTGCTTTTCTAACTTGTGTCAGAAATGATTTAGACTTGATTTTAAAAATTACTTCCTGAATGTGAAGAGGCACTACCTCTGAAATGGAATTAAAGAACAAATTACCATGACTCACTTAATAAAGCTTCTATTAGATTTGAATTAAGCTCTATTATAACAATTCTGATTTTGTAGCAAGCAATACCCATGTGAGTTATTTCTGTGATATGATACCAAGCACCTTTGGGGAAAAAGTAAAGAGCAAAGCAAACTTTATAGACAATTACATTGGTCAGAATGTTTATTAGTAGGCAGTCAAAGAATTCTTAAAAGACAAAAAGAACCAGCTGTTAGCATTGATCTAAATTGGAGAAAAATGAAATTACTTACATGTTTGGGCTAGAGGTATTAATATTAGAAAGGCTCTGGGAAACAGGTGAGGCTTTGCAGATTTGCACAGCGCAGTCAAGAAGGAGGGTCAAGTTAGAGAAGCGCAGAATTTAGTAACTCTCTGGCTTTTCCAGCCGTACTGGTTGTTCTCAGATGCCCCTCATATGGAGATGCCAAAGATAGCAACAACTGGGTGTCAAACAACTGTGGGTCCTGGTCTGAGGGCCATGTGATCTTGTATCCATTTACTCAGGGTTGTTTGCTGACTCTTAGCGGCCACAAACCACCCCCCAACTTGGTTTTCTCATTGGCTGTTTATTTGCTGTTTGCATGTTGCACTTAATTTTAAAATGTGTTGACATAGCATCTATAGTATTTATATTGTGACTTTACCCAAATGAAGATTATTCCTTTCAGAGCACTTTTCATTCTAAGTTGTTATCTTAGTGCTTTTGGATTTGATGTTGCATTGAATTACTTAAGTTGACAGCAAGGCTAGTGATTTGGAAATTTTATTAGCTGCATGGCTCTTAAGTCAGTTTTTGTGGCTATGATTTTCTAGCTAGTCTTCTACTTTGTAAATGCTGATTAAGCCTCAGTATGAGATTTAAGCAATGGCAGTTACATTCCTAAAGGGGAAGCTAAGGCTCAAGAATGGCAAGTCAGATCCAAAAATGAAGCACGTGTCAGCTACCAAGCCTAAAATAGAAGCTGTGTTTAAATGATGATCCTGTGATGTGACACAACCTTTATGCCTCATCCAATGTTAGTGTTTGGGATAGCAAAGTGTAAAGTGATGATAAAATATAAAACCCTTTTAAAAGAGTAGTTTAGAAATCTGTAACCATGCATCAGTCAACACTTTTGGTTTTATCTATGAAAGAATAAGATTTGATTAATCTCTTAGGCCCTGCTGCTCTATATGCTCTTTTTAAAATTTCTGGTCAGAGTCATTCCCTTCAGAATGCTCCATGAAGTATATTTGGAATTCAGTATATCTGAAGTGCCTCAGTAGTATCTAAAATACTCAGGGAGTTAGTTGTTCTTGTTAATTAAAATTTCAGAATAACTGAAATGCCCCTTTAGTTTTAGACTTTTAAAAAAATTTTAACTAGTCCATAACTTTACAAGCCCACTGCTTTTCTTAGCTAGGGTTCTGATGGCATGTTTTTTTTTTTTTAACAAGTACTAATAGGTTTTTAGGTATTGCTAGGAAATTGAGGGGTTTTCATGTTTTTAGAATGCAGTTTAATCTGTTTATTAAATGATTGATTACCATTTACCATTTCTGAGTTTGGTTTCTCCTAACTCTAATCATATTTCTCTTTATTTGGTAGCTGGGTATTAAAGGAAATTTTTAAAATGTTAAGAGGAAGTCAATAGTGTTGCCATATATAGGCAGGCATGAAGCTTATTACATTACTTTTTACTAAAGTTCAGATAGATATGAGGATTTTTAACCTCAGTTTTATGTTAGTGTTCTTATTATTAACAGCTTCAAATTCTTCTGGAAATAGTGAGATTTAAATCCTAGATAAAATATTTTAGGTATTGGCTTCTAAACTTGGCACTGGACATTTGAAGAATAGAATGGGTACTTACCCTACAGAGTGTTCAGTCAGTTGAGGAAATCAAAAAAGTAAGCAATTAAATGTGATGAAATAGTACAGATGTTACGATGGAAGAAAGTATAGCATCCAGCAAGGTCACAAAGGAAAGACAGGTTGGAGGTGAGGTTTGAGCTGAGTCTTCACAAAGGGTTAAGGAAGGTGATGGAGAAGAAAGGTCACACAAGGAAGGGGCAGTGATCTCAGAAGCAAGAGGCCTGCTTCCAGCTCTGCACCTAGCTGATGTGTGATCTTGGGCATTTACCTTCTGAACTTCAGTTTCCTCATTTGTGGAATGAAAAGGGGCTTAAATGAGAGCCTGTCTAAAATCCTTTCTCAATCAAAAAAATCACACATCACTATTAGACTCATTTTATGAAACGAGATGACTGGGAAAGAGAAAGCTTTGATAGCAATTGGAATTTGTCTCCCTATAACCTTCTTTTCCTGTGATTAAAATGCCACAAGTTCTCTGTTGTGCTAGAGAGACAACTTAAAGAGAGAACTTTTCAATCTGTTCTGATTTTTTCAGCGTAGCTTGAACTTATGCTGTCATTAGAGAATATTACCTTAAATGTAAACCACAATTTCAGAATTAACTACGTAAGTGGCCAAAATCTAAAGGAGCTCGGGGGAGGAAACCTCAGAGGTCCTGAAGTTCAGCCTCTAACAGCTGAAACATTTCTCTCTGTATCATCTCGGTTTGCTAAGATTTTGTCTTGAGGTCTCAGAGCCAGTCTGTAATGACTAAAGGATACATTTAAGATATGAACTTCTAGCATATTGAGGGGGAATATAAGAAGTATAGTTTTGTATTATAAGCCTATTCTATTAGAATAGTTCACATTTTCTTCTTCTCTTAGAATCTTTATGACCACAGGCTTACTTGGCATAATTTTATCCTTTTATGTGTTTAAACATAGTTGTCTTGTGCAAAGGATTTGAGAAGTCTCACCAGAATATGAAATATTTAAAAATCAATTACAAAATTAAAAAAAAAAAGAGAGAGAGACCCAGGGCAAATATAGACAAAATTGAGAAATCTGAGCAGGAAGAAAGAGCATGTTCTGATAAGCAGGGTATTATAGCATTAAAATTGTGCCACGCACTTGACTCTGAGCTCCCTGGTAAGCAAAGCAAAAAGAAGAGTTACAGCATCATCCCCCAAAGGAAAAGCTAACTTTTTCTAGCCCTTCATCTGGCAGTCATATGTGTGGGTGGGTCTTTACGTGCCAGCCCAGCTTCCTGTGGACTGTGATGTGAAGGCCAGCTCCCCAGCCCAGCCTCTCTGGTTTAACAGCAGTGTTTTCTTCCAGGGACAATGAAACGTTCTTCCCAGGACAGCAGCTCTCGCAACATTCCTGAAGATAGAAAGCTTTATGTTGTGGATTCCATAAACGATCTGAACAAACTAAACCTCTGTCCTGCCGGATCACAGCAGCTGTTCCGTACGTGTGCCCTCCCAGGCTTGGCAGCCAGTCCTGGCTTCTAGGTCACCTAAAAATAGCCAGGGCTGAGCTGGGCCTGTGGGTGTGGTGGGGGTGGGGTGGGCATTACAGTTGCTATTTAGTATTAGGCAATGTTTGTTTTTTCTCTCTGAATACTTGCCAGGTTTTGGGCTTTCCTGGCTCTTAAGCAGTATTCAAACTCTTATCTTCAAAAGTTCTGAGAAGTTTCCTGTGGAGTTTCTCTCCCTGGAAAGGAGTGGAGGCTGCAAGATGGCCTCCCAGAGGCTAATTCATACCTCTTGGCTGCTTCTGTGCCTTCTGGTGACCACAGCCAGGTTACTGAGTGTGACCGCTTTCCTAGACAGGTCTGACTTCATAGCAGATTGTTGAGAAAATGTTCCACACATTTATCTAGTATAACAAAGATCATTCATGTTCTGTTGGGCAGAAAAGTCATCTTCATCTTGTTAAATTTACAAATCTCCTCAATGAACACATTAGAAAGAAGAGGGGGAAACAAAAATATGCTAAATACTAAATGCTACTTGTGTATCTTGTCCCCTAAATATTATAAATGAGTTCTATCAGGTTATTTGAGCCCCATCTTTTCTAGTTTAAATGCTGACCTTCCAACTCAGGGGATAAATGTCCACTTGATGTTTCACATGTACTCGAAACTCATACTGTCCCAATTTTATGTCTATTATTTCTCTTCTGTATCCTTCTTGAATGCTTGTTTTTCTCTTTCATTCATTCAGAATTTCACCGGTTTTTACTACAGTTGGTCTTAATAAAGGTTGGTGTTTGAGTGCCAGCTTATGCCTTGGCTGTGATTAGGAAGGAAAGGACGTGGAGGGTGTGAGGCAGGATATCTTTATAAAGCATGGGACCTCTGCCCCCCTCTCTCCGTAATCAAGCAGTAGAGGGTGTGGGACTGATACATAGTAGGAGAAAATACAGAAGGTAATTCAAGGATCTCCATGATCCCAAGTTTCTATATTTATTTTTCAATTTAATTTGGGTGTTATTAAGCAAATAGGCCTTACAAAGCAGCGACCAAATGCGGACAGTTCATGGTTTGGGTGAGCCAAGCATAGTTGCATTCTCAGTTCAACAGCAAAGTGTTTAAGAGAATCTTGCTTTCAGAGCATGTCCGTCCTGAAAACAACTTTAAGAAACCAAGTACATCAGGCTCATTTTGATGTTGTTGTGTAAAGAGATGTAGGAATAGCTGGTTATTTTTATAGGAAATAAAGTTTTCTGGGAGATATCTCAGAATGCTCAGACTTTCACTCAGAGTATGTGGCCCACAGCCAGCTGTTTTGTATTCTTGGGTCGCTTTGGGGAAAAAGGCAATAGAGTCTCTGTCACTCCAAATCCTTAACTTCTTTACACCACCCCACCCCCACCCCGTGCAAAAGAAAGATCCATGTCCGGCTATACCAGTGTTAACATGATCGTCAAAGAATTTTCCAAACAGGGGTTATAGAGAAAGCTTGACCAGGCTTGTTGTTTGAATATACTAATATAAAAGAAGGTGAAATTGCTCAAAGAGCACTAGTGCAAAGACATTTCTAAAGCATATGTCTCTTTTCAGAGTGATCAGAGGGAAAATGGGTGTATCCCTTACTCACATCTTTTTTTTCTCTCTTTTTTAAATTTTATTGGAGTATAGTTGATTTACAATGTTGTATCATCTTACGTCTCTAACTCTGGGGGACTGTTCAGTTCACTGACAGCCTGTATGCTGAGGAGTCCTTTTTTTTGTTGTTGTTGTTATTTGTTTCACATCAGCTCTAGAGGAGAAACTCCAGGACGTCAGCACTGATTCAGGAAATGGAAGCCACAGTCTGTTTTTGGTGGGGCTGATCATCGTGCTGATTATCAGCCTGGCACTGGTTTCCTTTGTGATATTTCTGATAGGTAGGTACCATTGACACTCTTTTCATCACTGCTTTGCCCTTACTTGACAGCTGGTTGTTTAGCTTTGCTTCCATAAGGAGGCAGTGCTTCCTGGCGCCCAGTACTGCCACTGAAGGATGAGATGGCAAGAATGCCCAGGGCACCCTGCTGCTCTGGGTGGGTTACTGGGGCACACAGAAACCCTCCATGCCAGAAGTTCGCAGACTTGGATATTGTTTCTGTACCACTTTAATTTCTCACCCAGAGTCCCTCGCTGCTAATGGTAGGCAGCTTATCCTAGTTAATTCTGGGTTTTCGTAATCCAACACACAGTTTCTCCATGAATTCGGCCTGTAACTTTGAATCACCCTCCCAGTTTTCCTCACGTCCCTGAAATTTGTTAGAAGCACCAGCTGGGCTTTGCAAGGGCCCAGAGGCAGGGCTGGGATGTGAGGCGGTCGCTTGTCTATTGCATGACCCTGTCTGGGCTGGCGTCCCGCCTGCCCTCGTCCCGGGCCCCGCACGTCCGCCCTTGAGCGGTGGCCCACGCTTTCCCACACGGCTCCTCAGCCAGGAGATCCCTGGAGCCTCAGTGCCACCCTTCTCCGCCTCAGGCTGGGGCGGGGTGCTGTCCACTCAATGCCGTGCTCTCCTTGTGCGTGTTGCCCCTTCAGCAGAGCCCCCCGTGTTCTCTCTGGGAAGTCCCTGTAGACCACCATCTGCAGTCACTTCAGTTCTCTCCCACACCTGCTAAGAGTGGAAGAGCCTGAGAAGAGGGAGTCATCCTTGATACCCATTTGCCTGCATCCACCACAGTCATTTCTTCTGCCCTGCAGGCCTGGTAGCCTTCACAAAGCCTAAATGAGAAGTGGATTCCATGTGTTTGAAATGCCTCTAATTCAAGTTCACTCAGGATTAGTGGAGGTAGCAGTGGTGGTGATGAGAGGTGGGCAGAGGGCATGACTCTCACAGCTTCTAACCTTTTCCCTTTTCCTCCCCAAACTTCATCTCCCATCCAGCTTAAAGCTCTATCTCTGGTCTAGGTTTCAGAGCTGGCGTGAAGGGGTGATGTAATTTAATTGCTTCTCTGTCACCCTGCTAATGCCCTTTTGCACTTAGAAGCTACAGTGTGAACTCTCCTGACAGTAACGGTGCCCATGGATCTGATTATTCTATGGAGGAGGGTTGGCCCTGAAAGAGGGCGTGGATTACTCTTCAGAAATGTTATACCACAAAAGTGGATGCTGCAAATATCATCCTGCCTCACTGTCTGGGTAAATGACTGAGTTAAACTATTGGTTTAGGTTTGTCATCTCTACAGGGAAGCAGCCCAGAGGGACTGCTTTCTTTTGTGGGAAAAGACTAAGGGTAATGATAATTAAAAATATGATGTATTGGGTTCTCACTCTCTTCCAGGCACCATGGCAAACATTCATGTCTGCTCACTACCTCATAACAATTCTATTGTGTGGGTCCTGTTGTTATTCCGGTTTTATCAATACTGAAACTAAAGCTTAGAGAGATTAATTACTGTGCTGAAGGTCCACAGACAAGGGTGCCTAATCAGGGCTCAGAGACATCTCTGCCTGACATCAAATACCATGTTCTTTATTACCATCTTATACCCTCTTTTATGAATAGGATTTATTTTATGTTTGCTTCTAGGGTTTTATATTGAGGGCAAAGTCATATCAGGAAACAGAAAGAAGATGTGAATAAAGAAGAATGTCTTTTATTGGGCAGTTACTCTGTGCCAGATGCATTAAATTCATTATCTTAAATCTTTACCCTTCAGGGTACTGTCTAATATTTCTATTTTACTGATGAAAGGTGAAAGCCCAGAGAGTTTAACTCTCCCTGTTTATTTAGCTAATCCGAGGCAGGACTAGTATTCATACTCTGGTCCATCTGCCTCCAGAACTCCTGGCACTCCACTGCCTTTTGCAGTAATAATAAGAGGCTTCCGGTGGTTTGCAGATAAACTTTATCCCAACCTAAGACCAGAGTTGGCATGTGCTTGCATGCTTTAGTCACTCAGTTGTGTCTGAATCTTTGCGACCCCATGGACTGTAGCCTGCCAGGCTCCTCTGTCGATGGGGATTCTCCAGGCAAGAATACTGGAGTGGGTTACCATGCCCTCCTCCAGGGGATCTTCCCAACCAGAGATCAAACCCAGGTCCCCCACATTGCAGGTGGATTCTTTACCATCTGAGCCAACAGGGATGCCCTGTTGGCACAGGCTTCTGTAAATGAACTTGGCCTGTGCTCATCTTTGAAGAGGCAACCTTTCTGCTCTCACTGGGATTTGGTGCAGATTTGTATCATTTTAACTGAAGTGTAAGAACTTATATCTGGCATTTTTATGCAAGAGAAATAGGCTATTTTACACTGATTACATTGATTAAACTATTGGACCTTGTGTTTTTGCCACAATCGCTGTTCTGAAGAGGAATACTGGCCAGCAAGGGTAGATTACCCAGGATGCTTACCTGCCTCTGTAGGTTTACAGGGGCCAAGCAGTGTTAGATACTAGGTGTGTGGGACGTGATTAAGTATTGCCTTCATTTAAGAAAGGGTTCCATGGTCTAGTGAGTTTGAGAATTGCTAGGTTGGTACTACTCAAGGTATTTTATTTTACTTTTTGTGAACTTCCAAAGAGCAAGTCAGTATGTGATTTTTCTCTAATGTTTTTGCATATAGAATCCTTTTTCTCTTTTGGAATTTAATTTGGAGGTAATATATTGTGGAACAGACTTAGTCCAACATGCCTGCTACTTCCTTTTGTGTTTGACTCATGTAGAAGGTTCCAGAGAGAGGAAAGGATGTCACATGCTGTGGATTTACTTGTTTCACACTTCTCTCCAGCAGCAAGTGGTGTTTCTTCTGTCTGCTCTGCACCAAGACACTCATGTTCTAGACCACAGTTCATCCAAACATAATTTTCAGACACAAAGGGGAGGCAGCTTCTGGGCAGCAGTTTGTCCCGAGGCCAGAAGGTGAAGTTCTGACACCTTCCCACATTAGTTTTTGGGTCACTCAGTGGTATGTCACCACCTTCATTAGTTCCTGAAAGCTATCTTGGAAAACACTTGCCTGAAATGGAAATGATACGGAGTCCACGTATTAAATACTGATTTTGTGCTGCCTTTCTTGGAAATTTTAACTGCCAAGTAGGCCTCAGAGTGTTCCACTTCCTGGCTTACTCAATTCCCAGGGGTTCTATTTATTTTGTAAATATGGTCTCTCTGCTCTCAGAATGGCTGGGAAGAATTGTTATTGTACATTCATTATGGACTAGTAATTTAGAACCAGGAGACCTATGGGTTGGAACCCAAAATATCTCACCTCCCAAATGATGAGTGAAAAGCCTTTGCTGAGAACGGGTCTCAGAATGAGATAACGTAACAATCCCTTCTCCGGGGATAATCAGACACTGGCAGTTTTCCTGTGGTTGTTCACGCAGTGTCTTTCTCAGCCAAAATCTGAGCAGAGCTGCCAAAGGTAGTCAAGTCTGGCACAAAAGGGTTGTAAAAATAATTCACTTCATAGGAAACTTCAGCAGTTTCTCTCCTGGGCCTCTGGGCTGCACGGGCTATTGGAGCAGAGGATTTGCCGAGAGGGCATCTCAGCTTCCAGCTGAGCACCCTCATGGGCTCTGATGAGTCACGATGGAACACTCTGGAAACCAGCATAACGCTGTCTATTTTTCACTTTTAAGTTCAGACTGGTAACAAGATGGAAGATGTGTCAAGAAGACTAGCAGCTGAAGGAAGGGACATAGATGATCTTAAGAAAATCAACAGCATCATCGTAAAGCGACTCAAGCAGCTGGACTCAGAACAGAACTAAAGAAATGAATCGTCCAAGAGCAACTGCTAACACCTGAGCTTCTCACGGTCCAGGGAGGGTGTAGGGTTTAAGAACCACCAAGGGCATTTCTGTGGGTCTTGAAAGGCTGAGTTTCTATTACAGGGATGGGAGCAACTCCAAGGCAAGGGGGGCTGGGGGCAGCCCCAGAAAGGGGCTCGTTTTGTGGCAGTGTCCTTCAGCTTTCGCAGGATCAAGGGTGGCAGGCACGGCGGAGAAACAACAGTAAACGCGAAAGGGAATTTGGCTCTGCCTGTCAGCTTCTTCTACCAAAGGAGATTCGTCACCAAAATAAGGTCACGGTGGCCAGTCAAGTTCATGGCCCCTCATGTATCTTTATGAACTCCCAGGAAAGCCTAAGGGATTTGTTGAATTGTTTGTATTCAAAGGAATCAGGTGATAATTCTTTTCAATAAAACAGATTCTGCTCAGGTGATTATACTTGACTCTTACTTCTTCAGGGATGGGGGATGGATCAACTCAGAGCTGTTTACCTACAGGTATTTGCTGATAGTAGTTAAGTGCATATGGTAGGTGGGTACCACAAGAGAGAGCCTGAGTTATTCAAATAATGTTTATTGAGCTGTTGCTTTTTGCAAACCACTGTATTCTACAGAAGCTTACATTCAAGTGGGGAACAAAGGAGATATGTAGTTATATGTAGATATATAAGCTTTTTGACTTTCCGACAGGAAAAAAAATCCTTCAGTACCCGCTGATTAATTGTGCAGAAATCTGATAGGTTACAGGTTATAGGTTTATTAAATTACAGTGAGAAATTGTATATTTGGAATATTTGGAACCTGCCTTGTTTCAGCAAAAAAGGTAAGGCACAGAGTTTGTGAAATTAGATATGTTGCAATATAAATGAGTTTAAAAGCATGAATCTTAGAAAGTGTTTACTATAAATATATTGTGTAATTCTGTTGTGTGAAATATATAATTGTTCTATCATCTTGGGTTCATTAAAAACATTTGAGTTTATTCTAAAGTTATATACATACATAAAAACAGATTTTGTCACAGTAAATAATTAATGAAATAAACACAAGATGTTTCACCTATTCATTTTTACACTCAACCCTTTTTAAAGTTAATTTTTAAATGCATTTATTTATTTTAATTAATTTATTTTTTATTGAAGGATAATTGCTTTACAATATTGTATTGGTTTCTGCCATACATCAACATGAATTAACCATAGGTATATGTATGTCTCCTTCCTCTTGAATCTCTCTCCCACTCAAAAACATTTGTACTGCATAGCTATTTTTTTAAAATTGATGTCATGCAGGGTATTTTAAAACTGAAATTTGTATTTATTGGAAAATTATTATTGACCTGTTGATGTAGTGTGGCAAAATTATTTGTCAAGATTTGTTGTAACATTGTGTCAGAGACCACAGATGAGCTGATGCAACAACTCTTTAAAAATAGCCATTTTTCTTTGAAGTCATTTGTTCTTGTAAAGCTTTTCCACCCCTTTCTACCTACAAAGTGGATATTTTGTGCTCAGTAATAAGTGATCTTTATTGTAAGAAATACATGATTTTTATAATGTGAAGTAGTATAGTGCCTGATGCATCATTTCATCCATCTTTTTGGATCCATCCTGTTGGATCTGCACTGTCCTGCCTGTATGGTGTCTATGGAGCCATAGTCATCCACACAGCCTGGGCAACTCCAGGCACCCTGGCTCCAGGTATTTGGATTCACAGACTCACAACTTCTATTGATGGTGTTTAATGTTTTAAAATATTGCTGGCTACATGTAGTCTCCTTTTTTGCAACACAAGGATTTAAATTTGCTATTAAAGCTATTATTGGAGCAACTGGAATAATCTGAATAGGGTCTATAGGCTAGATAATGGTATTATGTCAGTGTTAATTCCCTGATTTAATAATCATATCATGGTTATGTGAGAATCTTTGTTTTTAGGAAACACACATGTATGCATTTAAGGATAAAGTGACATCATGTCTTCAATTCCAAAATGGTTCAGAAAATAAAAGTTTGTGTTTGTGTGTGTGTGTATGTATGTTTAAAGGAACTATGGTAAGTGTTAACATTTGGAAAATTTTTATTTAATAAAATCATGCAGCAACCTAGATATTCATTGACAGATGAATGGATAAAGAGGTCTTGTCACATATATATATAATGGAATATTACTTAGCCATAAAAAGGAATGAATTTGCATCAGTTCCAGTGAGGTGGATAAAACTATAGCTTGTTATACAGAGTGAAGTAAGTCAGAAAGAGAAAAACAGATATCATGTAATAATGCATATATATGGAAAATAGGTGAACCTATATTTGTAGGTCAGCAATATATTTGTAGGTCAGCAAACCTATATTTGCTGAACCTATTTGTAGGTCAGCAATAGAGACACAAGGGCTTCCTGGTGGCTCAGATGGTAAAGAATCTGCCTGCAATGCAGGACATTGGGGTTCAATCCCTGGGTCGGGAAGACCCCCTGGAGAAGGGAATGGCAACCCACTCCAGTATTCTTGCCTGGAAAATTCCATGGACAGAGGAGCCTTGCAGGTTGTAGTCCAAGGGGTTGCAAAGAGTCAGACATGACTGAGTGACTAACACTTCCAATAGAGACAAACATAGAGAACAGACTTGGGGACATAGTGGAGGAAGGAGCAGGTGGGGTGAATTGAGAGAGTAGCACTGAAACATATACCTTACCATATGTGAAATAGATAGCCAGTGGGAATTTGCTGTATGAAGCAGGAAGCTCAACCAGGTGCTCTGGGATAACCTAGAGGGGTAGGATGGGGTGGGAGGTGGGAGGGAGGTTCAAGAGGGAGGAAACGTATGTATACCTATGGCTGATTCATGTTCATGTATGGCAGAAACCAACACAACATTGTAAAGCAATTATCCTCCAAATAAAAATAAATTTTAAAAAAATCATGCATTTTTTCCCTTTAAAAAATAGCTTTGACATATAATTGACATAGATTTACTTGTATTTAAGGTCTGTAGTGATGTTTTGATCTATGCATACATTGTTAAATGGTCACATTATTAAGCTAACTGACATATTCATCACCTTCATAGTTGCTACTTGTATGAATGTGTGTGCTGTGTATGGAAAGATCTAAGATCTATACTCCTAGAAAATTTCAAGTATACAATACAGTACTGCTAAACTGTTGTCACTATACCGGACGTTAGGTCTTGAGAACTTGTTCATCTTGCATAACAACTTTCATACCTTTTGGTTACAAGTAGTCTCTTGGTAGTCAGATATGGTGGTTGAGACACAGGCTGGGGAACCCAACTGTCTGATTTGTCCTGGTGCTCCCATTTACTGTGGCTTTGGGGAAACTAACCTCTTTCCTCTTTTATCAGGAAAGTTGGATAATTATAAAATCTACTGTTACTATTATGAGTCTTAAAAGAAATGATGAATGGCTTACAACAGTGTCAGAAACAAAGTACTCAATAAATGCTAGTTTTTGTTGTAATTATTATTGTTAATGTTAAAAGTAGTAGATGTATAAGAGAAATAACTAAATTTAACATCTCCTGTTGGGGCCTTAGGGCTAAATGTTTTCCTGCTGTGCATCCTGATCTGATCTGATCAGGGATAGTGGAGATAGATAGCTTTTTGGAAAACAACTTAAGCTAATTTACAAGTTCTTGTTGTTCAGTCGCTAAGTCATGTCCAACTTTTTGTGATCCAATGGACTGTAGCATGCCAGGCTCCCCTATCCTTACTGTGTCTAGGAGTTTGCTCAGATTTGTGTCCGTTTAGTCAGTGATGCCAGTCAACCATTTCATCCTCTTCTTCTCCTGCCCTCAATCTCTCCCAGCAAGAGGGTCTTTTCCAATGAGTAGGCTCTTTGCATCAGGTTGTCAAAGTATTGGAGCTTCAGCATCAGTCCTTCCAATGAATATTCAGGGTTGATTTCCTTTAGGATTGACTGGTTTCATCTCCTTGCAGTCACAGGGACACTCTAAAGTCTTCTGCAGCTCCACAGTTCCAAACCCTCAATTCTTTGGCACTCAGCCTTCTTTTCCCAAGCCTTCAGTTTACAAGAGGTGATCAATATAAGCCAGAGGATTGGTTGTTTCCTAAACGATCTAGTCTGAAGAACAGAAGGATCTGCATTTGCCTCCCTGAGTGGAGCCAGGAGTTGTCTGTCCTGGATTAATGCCTTGCCCACGAGTGAGCAGTGTCAGGGGAAAGCCAGGACAGGAAAGGAAGGCAAAGGAGTAGAAAAATAAATAGAAGGGACTGTTTGACTGACTCATGTCCTGATAGGGAAAGAGAAGGAAAGTTTTGTATTTTTTTGGACTTTGTATATGTTCACAAGAGGCTCAGAAAGAGATGATTTTTTTTTTTTCTCTGGCAGTGGGCTTTGTCTGCATGCCCTTCCTGGTGTTGCTGTGGTGGAAGGATTACCATGTCTTATGACCCCAGGGCCAATGCACTGCCTCATCCATCGTGAGGCCCCTGGGGAGCCTTGCTGAAGCTCCTCAGATGGTTCTGATTGGCAACCACCTGTGGGTGAGCCAGGCCCAGCCCCACACACCACACCCTGCTGTGACAGCTGGAGACCACTGGGGTGTGGAACAGCCTGGAAGGAGGAGGTCCCAGCTTCGCAGTGTGGATGCCGGCCACAACTTAGGGAACATGGGCCCTTCTCTCTCCTGGAAGGACCAGGGTCATCTGACAGAACTCCCCCAGTGGACTCCAGTCTCCAAAGCAAGGATCTTGGGTAAGAACAAGAAAACCAGCAGGGTTAAAATAACACAAAACAATAGCTTTTTTTCTAATAGCAGTCTGTGATGGAAAAGAGAACAATTTTGGTGTGTGTGACATTTGGACTGAGGTGTCTTGGGGAATTATACTGCACAAACCATTGTATTATAACCCATTTTTATGTCTTAGAGTTTTAATGGAAACAAGATATCTCTGAATTATGGTATATAAAATAATTTTATTCCTGCTTAAAATAATGACCCCATTTAAATTCAGTAGAGGATGAGCAAAAGAAACAGATCACCAGAAAAGATTGGTAATCTATCTCCTCTGTGAATGAATTTGCCCGGAAGAAACTGTGAAAAGGAGAAAGAATTCTAGGACTATGAACTATCTTTCCACAGAGTCAGGAAATATATTTTCTTTTAAAGAGGAAATTAAAAATATTCTTATTGGAATCCATATGTCTGCTTATTCTCATTTGGTGAAGATAAAAACTTCTCAGTAAATTTTTTTTTTAATAGGGGAAACCTTACTGAAATATAATTTTGCTTTGCAGGAAGATGAAAGGATTAAAAAAAAAAACAGTGAAAAGCAACTCAGAACAAACTTAATTCCCTGTAATGAGCAAGCGTTGGGTATATACGTGGTGCCCACCTGTGTGGGCTGACACTGCAGAGGATTTAAGGGT